GCACTAATACGATCAACGCAAGCAAAAAGTTCCGGAACGGATCTTCATTTGATGAAACGTGGATTTACGACCTAATTCAAACAGATAAGGACAGACGTGTTCGGGCCTGCACTAATACGATCAAATATCAACGCAAGCAAAAAGTTCCGGAACGGATCGTCATTTGATGAAACGTGGATTTACTTCAACAACGCAAGCCGAAAAGGTGGTTGCTCTGTGCCCGGCGAGCCCGTCGGCAGCGTCGCAGAGCGCAATTTGACTAACAAAAAGATCATGCTTTGTAGTATCTGGTGGGATTCCCGTTGAATTATCATCAGAGAGTATATGAAAAAGAAAAAACCTTCGACAGGAAGGTGTACAGCGAGATGCTAGTTCGTGTTGAAGCTGTTATCAAGGAAAACGTCGAACTGAGTTCCGGCGCAAAAAGTTAATGTCCTATCAAGATAATGCAAGACCACATGTGTCTGCATCCACCGGCTTGGATCTGTACGGACTCGAATGGGATCCTTTGCCACACCCACCATAGAGCCCGACATCGCTCCTTCAGAATTCTATATTTTTTACACCTCCAGATACATCTTGTTTGTGCTATCTTCCATTCTGCACAGGACGTCCAAAATGAGGTTGATCTGTTTTTGGACTCGCGGCCACCAAGTTTCTGGGCCGAACGCTTTGAAAAAATACCAAAATGTTGGCAGAAAAATGATAGATTTGGGTGGTGATCACTGCTTTCATGTTTTTTTCCTAACTGTATTAAGAACGTTTTGTGGCGGAAAACGTTCGTTACAACCAAATGAAAGGCTGACTTCATTCCCCGCCTGAAACTATGAAATTCTTCCCTTGTGTTAAACCTCTTTATTAATGTTTACAAAATAGTTATTTACAGAAACTTTGAAATAAGGGATGGAGGGAATAAAAACTAATTTTCTCGTTTCAGAAACTGTTTTGCGAAATATGCCGGTAATTTCGCTAAAATTTTTCTCAAAGAATTCGGAGGGAGGTATTAAATATGAAGTACTGAAAACTTTATTGGAAACTTTAATACTTTATTCTGATTTAATTTCATTTCTGTGCTTTTCGTTAGTGTAAAGCTTTTATTTAACTGATATCATTGTTAGAGTATGTACAGATTTGAGATTCATTTATTAGAGAGCATTTCCATTGGCAAATATTTTTGCAAACGATATATGTACATAATTTTTATTTTATAAAACATTTAGGTACTGTCCTCTTATAAGGACTGGATTCAAAAATGTATGTGCGTATGCATGTATGGATGGATGGATCTGTTCATGCAAGCATGTATATATGAGTGTAAGAATGTATGTGTGTGTATACAGTGGTGGCCAAAATTGTGGACACTTTTGGAAATTTTTATGTTTTTGAACTTTGTATGCTTATAGAAAATGTTACGTTTAGCAAAATGCAAACTTGTATATATCACTTTAAAGAGAATTTATTACTGAATTCAGTACAAAACACAAAATTCAATTATTTGTAATACAAAAAAAGTTATATGTACTTTAATATAAATAAAAAACACAGTTATGAAGTGGTTTGTAATGTCTAGCTTTCCTGGCAAATCACTGTTCTTGTTCTGAGAACCAATCAAATGTTAGTAACTGCCAGTAGAAGCTGACATCATGTTTACACTTGAAACAATTCATTATTTTGCTTTGTTCTGTAGAAGGAGGACCTGTTTCTTATACACTGCAATTACAAGTAGGAATTTTTGTAAAAATTTTTAATATTTAGTCAAGAAGCAATGACATCAAATAAAAGAGTAGACTGGACACCTAGAAAGAGATGTAATATTATTGTGTTACGAGAAATTGGTCTTTCCTATGCTGAAATTGCAAGACAGGTGGGTTGTTCAGTGACTACATCTGGAGTCCGAAAGTTTTGTTTACGATATCAGGAGACAAATTCAATAAAAAACAAAGAAGGAAAAGGCCGAAAAAGGTGCACCACATCTATTGATGACAGAAGAATAAAAAGTCTATGTCTCCAAGATAGAAAAATGTCATCAGCGGCCATCAGAAGTGATCTGAATGATGCTGGCGTTTCTGTCAGTTCAAGAACAATCAGGAGAAGATTAACAGATGTTGGACTGAGAGGAAGAATTCCACGAAAAAAGCCTTATCTTAATTTTTAGCAACGAAAAATAAAGACTACAGTGGGCAAAGGAACACATTAATTGGACAGATGATCAGTGGTCACAAGTTATATGGAGTGATGAAACTAAGATCTCGTTATTCGGTAGTGATGGGCGAAAATATGTAAGACGTAGAATAGGAGAACTACATCCTGACTGCATCTAAGCAACTGTGAAGAACCGAGTTAATGTTATGATTTTGTCATGCACGTCAGCAGATGGTAGTGGTCGCCTTCATGTCATCGATGGGACACTGAATGCAAGAAAATACATTGACACTATTCTAGAACCAAAACTTCAACCTTCCATCAGAGATCTCTTTTCGAACAATGCTTCGTTTATTTTTCAGCTGGATTCTGCTCCTTGCCACACGGCCAAAATATCGAAAGAGTGGTTTCGTACAAAGAGCATTAAATTGTTTTCATTTACCAGGAAACAGTCCTGACCTCAAACCTATCGAAAATTTGTGGCACCGTTTGAAAACTCTTGTCCGAATGAGGCGCCCATCAAATAAAAGGGAACTCATTGAGGCTATAATTGTTTCCTGGCATCATGTAATAACGAAAGAAAAGCTTAAAACTCTTATCAGCTCAATGAAACGTCGATGTGAAGCTGTAATCAAAAATAAAGGGTACCCTACTAAGTACTGATAACTCACTGCAATCATCACTATCTAATGTATATCGATAACTATTATCGTTTAACTTTTTTTGTTGCAAATAATTGAATTTTGTGTTTTGTATTGAATTCAGTAATAAATTCTGTTTAAAATGATATATACAAGTTTGCATTTTGTGGAACATAACGTTTTCTATAAACATACAAAGTTCAAAAACATAAAAATTTCCAAAAGTGTCCCCAATTTTGGCCACCACTGTATATGCACATATACGCACATACATATATCCATACACACGTGCATATATATACATTTCTGAATCCGGTTTCGATAACAGAACTGTAGCAACATGTATTTCGCTTCATAAAAATTAGAAAACAAGAGCAGGTGTTTAACGAGGTGTAAAATGTTAAATTTTCCCTTCATCTTGATTAAGCTCAATTACGATAAAGCAGACTTGGCTTATTTTCAGATACAGTCGAACGAAATACTGAAAATAAATAATTTTAATTCTTTCCTAGTAATTCGAATTGATTGAACTGTTTAGAGTATGACAAACCTCTGAAATCCTATCTACCTATAGATGGCGGAAGGTCTTTTTAAGAGAAATTGGTATATAAATCAGGTTACTCATACGAAAAATCATGAACACTTGCATGCAGTAGGCCATTTCCATGGGAACTTAACCTGGGTGGAACTACCATTGCGCAGCTATGAATGAATGACTCATAACAAATAACTGATACTGAGAAAAGTTAAGCGAGAAACAACTATTGACACAATAGATATTTCCATACCTTCTTTTAAGAAACCAACCTTTCCAGAAACTAACTTTGAATTTTTAATTTCTCACTATCATCTGAGAAATCTCATATTAAAAGATTAATCTTTCCTAGGAAAGCTGTTTTTATGTGTGATATCGTTTATTGTTTGGTTTAGTTTGTTGAATTATCGCAAAGCATGCGAGGGTTATCTGCTGAAGGAAAGGAATGTATTCGCGGGGATTCTAAAGCAAAATGGCTCATATCATTATTATACACGGTACAAAACAACAAAACGCCCACCCATCCAGCTCATCCGGTCCCGGATCAAACTGTAATTAATGATATAGTTCTCTTTCACAAAAAACGATATTGGTAATTAAATTTATGTGTATGTTATATAAAAAGGGAGCTAATAAAAAATCGTAATCAACCCCAAAATTCCATCCGTCATTTTTCCATATACTAGGTAAACGCAAGAAAAAAACTTTTTAAGCCCAAAGGCGCAATTTGTCCAGAAAGGCTATTAATTTCGTTTTGGCATTTTGTGTTGATTCACTATAAACGGCCAATCACTTTTTAAATTGTTGCCACTAAATATTAGAGCCCTGTATCATATTTAAAGAAATTAAATAATGAAGAATTTACATAAATGTATGTATTTTTTTCGCACTGTGATAAAACAATGATACCGAGAGCCATCAAATTTTGAATAACGTACGTCTCTACCCGAATATGGGCATCAGGAAGGCCAAATTTGAAATTTGTTTTATTATCGTTATGCGGCCAGCCTTCATCTGGCTTTTAAATGCACGGGGAAACAAACGTCCTCTCGACAAACGTCGTATCCAAGTACTTCTCGACAAACGTCCAGTATCCAACAGAAACATTAAATTTAAGAACTGCACAAAATTATTGCCCTCATTTTCCCAAGTGGCAACAGTGCTGATATCAGCAACAATGGCAACGGTGATATATCAGCAACAACGGCTGCGTGTCATTGTTGCTTATATAATGAGAGAGAATTATCGATTTGATGCGATTTCATCAAGAAACAAAATAAAAAAAAATAAAACAAAACCTCATTCAAATTTTGAAAAATACATTCGCTTCGAGGTGTACTGGTTCTTGCCTAGATGCACCTATGTACCGAATTTCGTAGCCCTGGGTTTATTTTCGTAGCCCTGGGCGCAGCACTAACGAAAGACACACAGACATACTCTTTCTTTTATTATATGTAGAGATTTCATATTTTGTAAAGCATTTATTAAGTTTTTGTTTAAAAAATTCAATTTCATAATGAGGAATGCAACACCGTAAAAAATATCTCCAGCGCGCGAGACTGTGTATCGGAATTTCTATAGATATACTCTTTTTAAATTATTTCATGATATTGCTGTTGAATTGAATTTTATGGTTTAAATGCGAAGAACATGTTTAATAAATAAAAGTAACACAGAAAACATTAGAAAAACGCCCCTTTGGGCGTAATAAATCTGAAATCTGAAAGCTTTCAGACTTTTTTATTACTACTACTATTATTTTTTTTAAATCTATACATAAAACATATTCTCGAAGTATTGCATACTTTCGATTGCTTTAATAACAATTGGAGGCAATGTTTTCTGTGTCTTGGAACTTTGGCCATTTTCTGAATGGGGATCGATGAATAAATCTGCATATGCTTTAGCTCTAGCAGCTGCCAAATCAGCATACAGTACAGGAGCTGGAATAGAAACACTCCGAGTACAATGGGCGTAAATATGGCACAAAAAATGGCATAACTTTTGAAAGTCTTTTGCTGTGAAGTTATTATCATCATGAAGTACAGTATAATGCGCCGGCTTGCTAGTACCTTGTATGCCTTCATGAGAACAAAGAAAGAAGTCAAAATATATAGGATGAGTGATAGTAGTATCAACTGTAGTACCAGGAGGAACATTACCCATTCTGCCAACTCCATCTTTAGGATCCTGCGGTCGAATTCTAGTTTGATGCCTTTTCTGCACAACAATGTAAGTAACAGGTATTATCTCATGATATACTTCGTCGCAAGCGTCATAGATGCTGCCTACTTCTTCTTCAAGCGCTGATTTGAACTGACCTTCTGAAACTCCATCGCGGAAGAAAATTAATTTTTGCGGACGAACTTGGTTTTTATGCTTCTTATTGAAAGTTTCTAAAATTGCTTTCACCATGTCTTTCATATGTACAATTATTTCCTGTGATACTTTGCTTTCTTTTTTATTTTCTTGCAAACGGCACGTTAAAGCATATTTAGATGCTTTCGTATCAAAACTTCCAACGACTGATGCTATGGATGGGTAGCCAAAACCCCGAGGCCAGTGAATAACATCTGCTCCGAAAGCAATAAATGGTCTAGAAAATACCTCAAGGTTTTGAGAGATAACATGGTTTGTTCCTCCTAATTTAACATTAAGTTTTAAGCAAATATTAGTTGCAATTTGGTCATTAATTTTTTCCAGGTTTTTATCATCTATGCATTGAGTAACCAATCCATACTGAAAGTCTGCAAAAAATTTTATCTCTTCATATCTTCTAATATGTCTGTACGTAACGTTTCGACTTTTTTTTGTGCCTAGATAAAACTATGACAGCAAATGCAACATCACGTTCGAAAGCATAGAGTATGGCATCTTCAGTGCTGATGTTAAGATCAAAAATTTTTATCTCGAACGGGTGACGTAATTTCATTCCACATTTATGACTTGAATCAACTAAAAATTGAGAAAAACGTTCTAATTTTTCATATCTATAATCGCTGTAAGTTGAAAAACTTATTAATATCCATTTCTTATTTTCTTTTGCTTCATAAAATTTTTTCCCAGTTTCTATTTTCCAAACACCTCTGCGATCCGGTTTTGCAATTTGCAAGGAACGTGTACCAGCATATGCAAGATCTGGAGCAGCTATTACTCTACCATTTAAACTCATACACTGCGCATCCATATTAATTTCAAAATCATTCATAACTGTTCCGCTTACATTTTCTATAGTCTTGGAATAATCCATTATGCTCCGAAATCGTTGTACAGGTGGTACAGCTGTACTTCGTATCATTCGTCTTTTCAAATCGTCTTTCAGTTCACCTACTTTGGGTTGCCCTTCAATGATTTCACAATTTTCCATAGGCATGTAATTTTTATTTCTACGACTTTCTAGTTCAAGACATGGTAACTGCGGATACCGAAGAGCTCCATAACGTTCAGCAAAATATTGAGCAACTGATTTTTTCTCATCAGAATCTAGGTTTTGCTGTTGGGCAGGCAAATGACATACTTTAATTATTTTATACCGCCGTGGTTGCCTTTGATGTGTCACACGAACGCAAACAGTTGTAAGCGCATCTGTCAATTCTTTGATTTGGAACTCATCTAACATCGACAAAGCTCTAATATCTGTCTTTAAAATTTCACAGGCATATTCTATAACAGAGATTGATTTATGAAATGCCTTAGCTGTTAAGTTAACAACTACTGCTGGAGATTTTTCCATTAATCGAACACTCTGATTGTATCCAAAACATATTTTCAAACCATAGTCTAAATTTTGACTACCAGTTTGCTGCAAATCAAAAAAGGAATTTCGTAAGTGAATTTGGGTCAACGGAGGCTCTCGATGATTCATAATAGTATCAAAAACTAACAAAGCAATTTGAGGTACTTCTTTCGAACGACCACAGTATAATTCTTTTAATGGCTTCAAACTAATCACATTATTATTGCTTTCATTTATAGCTGGTTTAATAGTTATACGAAACGTTTTCACTTCATCTTCTAATTCTGTTTGAACGTCTATAGAAATTTCGTTTTTAAAGGTTAACTCTACTTTTGTGAAAATATTTCTTTGCCCATCATAAACAGGACAAAATTTCTGTAATGCATGGCTCTTAACTAAAGATGCAACAATTTGCCTACATTTCGCTTTACCTAAATTTCGTTTCTGTTGATGTTCAACAACAGGTATATCTTTCTGTTTAGCTTCTTTTGAAGACAGTCCCTTAGTTATTATGCTTTTCTCACACTTGCCATCCTTTCCAACTGAAACTATATATACATCATAATGATAAACGCACATATCCCCTTCATAATTTAACATAAAGTAGTTTGCAATCAACTTTATGGGAAAACCTTCAGTTCCGTATCATGGTCTTTCAGCCATTGGATATTTTCCCTTCCGCTGTTCTTTCTCTTTGATCTGCACAGGTGAAGGTAAAGAACAATCAAGAATCTCTTCAGAGACTCTCTGTGTTTCAGTCTGAAACTGTTTCTCCATTTTCTTTAGCAAAGTAGTTCGATCCTGATAGATGATTTTATATCCCTTGAAGTGGATGTGTTATCATTATATGAAGGGGGACGATCATTACCTGCAACTTAAAAAAATATTATATTAATTTTAATCGCAAAAAATATATAAAAGTAATATTTTAATGAATTAATAAAAATGTTCCTTGTAGTGTATATGTTTACTGCAAATGTATTGTTACGGATTTGGTATTTAAATCGCTAAATGTAGTTGAATTGTAAATTAAGTGGTTTTATTTCCCGCGCAGTGCAGTGCGTGACGAATATTAAAAGGAAGCTAAGCCATAGGAGGAAAACCTCTCAATTAGAGTTAGTTACTAGTTAGTTTGTTTAGAAAACTGTTCTTGTTGATTGTAGCGAATTCGCGGATTACCTTTCTTTTGCTGTTTTGAATTAAGTTCTCTTGAACGTCTGAGTAGTTAGAAGATACTACTGTTATATATTGTGATACTGCACGATTATTTGAGGACATTTAATCATATTTGTTGTGATAATAATAATTTTTCTTCATTTTTCATCGGACTTGTGCATTCATTTCGTAATGAACCCGTACGCACGCAGCAGTATATTGATGTTCATACATTCAAGTAAAGGACACCGTTGTGGGTACATGACATGTTGTACATTTCTGCGAATATTGCGTTACAGATAAGAATCAGAATGGACAAGAGGTATCTGCATTAAACGTTATGTAACATAGAAAGATCTCGAATTTGGGAGAACAGATGAATTTAAGGGGAGATTATAAAATCTAGAATCGTTAATTTTGAGGTCGCCAATTATTTTCTTAAAGCAACTATCGTACTTTGTTATATCTTACATATTTCCCCTTTCAAAGAAAGGTTGTAAGAGCATGGTGGAAGAAAAAACATTAGTATTAGCGGAGCAAAGGAAGTTATCATATGAGGAAAGACATGAGGAAGCATCAAGGACATTGTCTGCAGTTTTCCTGTGCCCTGTCATTATTCATGACCTTTCTCACACATAGATTATCTAATACTTAAACAACTAATTTACAATTATTACAACAACAATATAATTTCTAAATAAAAATAAATAATAAATTAACACAAATATAATTTTTAAGTTGTTAAAATGTCCAATGAAAAATTTTTGTAAAATTCTTGGGGAAAATAGTTCCACAAGGTATACGTTCAAATGTTTTCACAACATAAATGTTCTATAAAAGTCGTTCAAAGTTTTTGCTGATGAAAATATTTCCATTATAATACAGATTGAGCTGCCAACTTTCATGTAGAAATATAATACTTAATTTATGATTAATTGAATAAACTCTTCTTATTGTGGATACATAATTTTAGTACGATAGGAAATTTAATATAAAAACATAATGATAAAATGCAATACTGAATAACACAATAATACTTCGACGATTAGCTGGCATGTCCTCTCCAACAAAATCAGTGTACTATCTCACACACACACATGCTCATATATATATATATATATACATATATGAAATAATAATAGCAACTAAAAAGACTGAGCACTGTTAATGCGTAATACCCAAATAGAATGAAACGTAGATCTATATTAAAGAGAAAGAATTCTGATTGCATAGTATGCTAATATGTTGACTTTGTAATATCTAAAAATCTTGGAAGTCGAGACGCTTTTAATTGCATTTTTATTTGCAACTGAAATTTGTGGCCACAGTTTGCTTGGCACTCTAGCCGTGCCTATTCAAGAACACTTACATTTTTAATATTATTGCAATAGAAAGCAGCTTAGCGCAGTTACGTCCAAGCAGAGCAGAGAAAGAAGCTGAAATGCGTAGTTATGCAAGATGACGAAGAGAAACACGAAGAGAAAGGTTTTGGTTTGAGCTAAAAGTTTCAGTTCACAATTATTATGTCATCAGAGCTCCGTACAAAAAGGAAAGATCTAAAAATGCAGTCGAGAGAAGTTATTACGATTTTTAGAAGCGAAAGAGAAAATTAAAGAGTTACCCGTTAACTTAAATTATAATTTTGATTGAGAGATTTTTATCTTACATATTGCCCCCCTTTAAAGAGAAAAAGGCTTGGCGACAGAAAAGCCTTTTTAGAATAAAGCATTAAAGCAGTAGCGAAACAAAGGAAAATACAATTGTGAAAGCAAAAATTACACAATTTGATATAAATAATTTTTTTAAATAAAAAATCTTGTAAATATCATTTTTAACAATAAATGCATACTGAAAATTCTATTGAAATTTAATAGGTCTTCAAGTTCATTTTTCTGTAAAATAACTGAAGTAATGTTCTAATTTTTTCAAGAAATACTGGAAAAGTCTTACAGTTCTGTAAAATCTTTGCTTGAATATCATAATTATAATCAATATTTCGCAGTCCTTAGCTTGAAAGTCTTTCATAAAAATTGATGTTGTTAATAAAACCAAAATTTTCTTTTACAGATTTACAAAATTTGAATTGATTGTTTATAAAATAATTCACATTTTCTTAATTGTAAAGCAATGTAAAATGGAATTTATAACTTAATACTTGGCAAGTAGCAAAATTGAGTACAATGAACTTTGAAGAAAATGGGCAAATCCTTTACAATGCAAATCAGCGTGACAATTTGCTGATGGCTGGGAGATGCTTAAAAACGATTACAGATAGAAGCCTCCGTTCCTTAAATAAAGGCCTCTAGTATTGTATAATTATCAAAGTTTATATTTATAACTTACGGCTATAAAACCTTCAAACTTGTTAACTGATTTGGGAAAAATATACAAAAATAAAAGATATATTAAATTATGCACTGCCCTACAACAATAATATGAACCAAAATTTTGTGAATAGAAAATAAATTTCAGAATCATATCTGCTTAGGGGAAGGCTTTTAAAACTTTTCAATTGTAAAAATTCAAACACATCCATTAACATTACAAAATCGTTAAAATTTTCGAAATATTGTAATATAATTAAATTTTCTTTTGACACATCATTTGAAATAATATACTATTATTATCAAAATATCTAACTGACTTATTTTGTACAAAGTGGAAGAACTCACAGCTTTCTCTTAGTACTCACATATCCAGCTATTTAGGCAGTTACTTGGAAAGGTACCGGTTTCTTTTATAATGTAATTGGCCTTTGTGAACTGCATTATAACGCTCCATTTATATAAAAAAAAAACATAACCACATTCTATTATATTAAAAAAATAATTATTATTATATAAAAAAAATAATAAAATAAAATAAAAATAAAAGTGGGAGTTTTCAAAGTTTATCTGAACACACTATGATCCGTAAATTTTAAAATCAGTTAACATAATTCCATACTATTTATCATTCCAATAATACTACTTAAAAACACTATTTGTTTATCATATTTTATACCAATTTTTTCATAATTTTTTCATTCACTTAAAAATGCTTATCAACAATTCGAAATTCTCAACATAAATTTAAAAATATAATTATTTACTTTAACATCCTTCCCTATAACAAAATTTAAATAACTTAAAATTCGTTACTTAATTTGCTCACACATACTTATAAAAAATTAGAAAAATTAATGAACAAGAATTTCACATTTTTGCAAAAAAGCACAATTAAAATGCAGAAATTTCAACCAAAATTGAAATGAAAAGTATGGAATCCGCAGCATGTTAAATAATTTTGTCTCGTTCCTAAGTTAAATTCACAAGAACATAACGATTTTCGAGCTGTCGATGGACGAAGTACTATTAAAAATAGCGGAAGCACAAATAATTTTCTGTCGCACAAACTTGAAGCAAAGCACAGATCGACGAACTTCATTGTATGCTGGATCTCCTTAAGCGGTAATTCACTGATGATTTAAAGCACGTTTTTTAAATACTGTATGTGAGGATCAAAATTATAATTTAAACTAACGGTAAACTCTTTAATTCTTCCTCTCGGATCTAAAAATCGTAATAACTTCTCTCGATTACGTCATTTCTAGATCATTCCTTTTTGCATGGCCTGCGCAGCGTTGATGGCGTAATAACTGTGAACTGAAACCTTAACTTAATCCAAAACCTATCTATTCATTTGCTTTTATCTTGCATAACTACGCACTTCAGCTTCGCTCTCTTCCCTACTAGGATGTAACCTTGCTGTCTTGCTTGCTATTGCAATTATATAAAAAATGTAAATGTTCTGTAAAAAGGCACGACAAGTGATTGTTGCTACAAACGTCAACTGCAAAATAAAAATGGAATTGAAACTTCCTCGACTGCCAAGTTTCTTAGATATTGCGAACTCAACATATTAGCATACTACACAATCAAAATGTTTTCTCTTCAATATGGATCGACGAGCATCAAGAGTGTTCCGGCTTTTCCTTGCTATTATTATATTATGTCATAATATATATGTATGTGTATATGTAAAATATAAAATATCTATCAAATAATAAATTAATAATAGATCTTTAACTCCCGTCTTCTTTCTATAAATAATGACAACATTTCTGTACCGCGCCATTTCTAGATTAATCTATGCCACGAAGCTTGCGTAAAACTGATGATGTAGCTGATTGGGACACTAAACTTTGAGAACTTGAACAAAATGTTTCTCTTAACAGCCTTCCATATTGGATAACTATGCACTTTAGCTTCTGTCTGTGCGCTGCTTGGAAGTAATTTCGCTGGGCTCGCTTCTTAACGCAAAAGTATGAAAAATTTAAATGTTCTGTAAATAGATACGATTAGAGTGCTAAGTGATTGTGGCCACAAATGTCAATTGGAAATAAAAGTTGAATTAAAACTACCTCGACTGCCAAATTTCTTATTCATTGTAGATTGGAGTTTCAACATCTCTAAGCCATCAAAATTCTTGCTGTTTATTACATCTAAATTTGTTTCTATTACACACACACACACACATATATATAATATATGGGCGAGAAGACTGTTGCATAGATGACGACTAGTGCTAAATTCACAACTAGCTTGATGGTTAAATCATCACTTTTATTTTGCGCAGGATCAATTAATTATTCAGATATACTTCTTTGCTTAAAACTGGTACAACCCTTCCATAACTTCCATGTATGCAGTTTACAGTTCCGATAATAAAAGAAAGAAG